CATTTCAGGAGAGGCCTGTTGGGGCCGTTTTCTAATGCCGAGACCTGATTCGATGGGTTTAGGTCTACATTTTTTCCCTTCTTTCCGAGGGAGATTGAGGCTCTAAGAGCTTAGCTGGAATTCAGATGTGCCCTTGAAGAGATGGCTTTGTGCTTTTTGATGACCGTACCATACAATTCTGACTCAATCCATTCAGACAAAAATTTGACCTTAACATATTGTGCCGTGACTACAATGAGTTGAATTTAAAAGAGCTTATGCTTGAAAGGGCTCTTGATAATGTGTAAGTGTTCTTCAGAAACAGCAAAAACATGCTAATGCAAATATTCGCAGCCGTGTCGTGCGCATTTGGAAAACACGAAACGAGTGTGCTAAATGAACATGTTTGTTTTAGAAAAACACAAAGGAGTTGGAACGAAAAGCAGTGGCGGATTTTGTTGAATTGTGATGTTTCTTTTACCTATTTTGGGCCTCTGGTATAATGGCTAACTCCAAATACCTGTGTCCAATTGTAAGTAATCTATTAAACCACAGAGCCCACAGCTTATTTCCTCTCTGCTTCACATCCTCCGGTTAATGCGATAGCTACAACAAAAGCAGGAGCACCTTTCACCTCCTGTTCTCTACTTGCGTCTTTCATTCTCTCTCACACACTCATATCCATATTTAAGATTGTTGCCTATTGAATTAACTGTTATCATTCAAAGCACTTCTAAACTGGCGACGTCTGAGCTGGAAAGTGTGTTAGACTCACTTAGTACCACATATTAGCACTAATGTGGAGATTCTAAGGATTTAGGCACTGGCGCACTGGCCCTTGCCACGTGTAGAGTCAGTTTGTTGCTAAGCATTTGAATGTCTGTCTTCGGTCCCCCACTTCCTCAAGTTCCAGGAGGCGGTCAGAGACAGTGATGCGTTGGCTGTCAGCCCTCCATACTCCTCAATGGGCAGGCTCTGACATGCTGTCACCTTGGCAACTGCTGCCAGGGTAATGTGCCTGGCGGGCTAACTGACCTCAGCTGGCAGTGTGCCATGGGCTTGCAGCAGGTGTGTGACAGTGAAGGTCCCTTGGCCACTAATCCAGCCCTCTTGTATAGCCTCGGACGTTGCTCGACCACATCTATTGGCCGAAGGTCTGATGGGAATTGTGAGAAAAGAAAACATTATGCTGTGTATTGAGACACACTTAGATCACTGGCTGGTCTAGAGAAAGCCAAAAAAAAAAAAGCTTTTAAGAAATTAGATATAAATACATAGCTAGGAACATTTTAATTATCTCTCTGTATCTCTACACATTTCTCTAAATCCCACACTTGTGTACACTTGGTAAACATATGCAGTTGAATTGCTTTATAAGAGGCATTTACAGGTCTAAGGTTAGCTTAAGGTATAATGACTTTTTTGCATTCCTTATTTTAACCTTTTTATTATTATTATTATTATTGTGTACATTTTAAATAAACCATATAGCCAAAAGGGATTTATAGACTGTAACAAATTATTTTGAACGTTTTCGGCTTACTTTCGTTTTCGGGCTTACGGATTTTTTGTTATTAGCCTATAATTAATGTTGTTTTAAATTATCATTCAGTATTGTTTTATCGATAACATGGTTTGATATTGATACTCTGTTCTAGCGGGAGGGAATTCCAAAAGATGGCGCTAAAGAAATAGGAGAGGGTAAGATTTATTTCCTATGATCTATATGTATTTGGGTAAAATTAACGTTTGTAAATATGATCTAAAAAAGCAGTGTGGGGGAAAGAGATTCATAAAAATATTTAAATTCGACTTTTAATTGGCATTTTTAGTTACACAAATTTGACTCGTCAAGAAAATTCCGAATTAATATATATTTTTGTTATTATGACTGCATAATATAGTATATACGTAAAATACCCAACACAGAACAAAGCTACCAATTATAAAATAAAACGAAAAGGAAATAAAAAAATAAAATTAGTTTGCGTAGCCTACTATAGTAACACGTGTGCGTGTACAGTTTTATGTTTTTTTTATTTATTCATTTATATTTCTAATACTTATAGTTTTAGCATGTTTTATTAGGCTACAATATATCTCAGAGAAGATAAATAGACGTATATGTATTTTCAAATTTAAAGATAGAAATTCTCAAAGTTTTCATATTGCGCAATTCAGGGTCTAACACATAAGAAAGAAGAAGAAGAAGAAGAAGAAGAAGAAGAAGAAGAAGAAGAACCCATTTTCATCACATCACTCAGAATCATTACAGTCATTATCATTATGGGTTTCACTACGGATGTACAGCCGATGTTTTTTTGTTTGTTTGATTGTTTTTTCATTTATTCTTTTGAATGTTGACGGACACACTCTTTTTGATGTTTGTTTACAGCCCAAAAATAAAACGTGATAACAGTAGCCTAGTATAATCAACCTATTAAGTCTTGTTATTTTCATTCAGTTTATTACTGCTAATCATAAACTTTGTTATAAGTGCATTTTAGACAGTTTTAGACAGAAACTGAAAGCTTTACAACTCTGTTATTCTGGGTGTGTGAGCGAAACCACAGGTTGAATTTCGTTGCCACGCAACGGATGTACGGTAAACCATCCGCGAAATTTAAATCTTCAAGAGAAGGACCGTGCGTTTGGCTGAATAGTCACTACCACACAAAAGTTCCCGAGGAAAAAAAAATCAGCTGCACTCCCAAGTCTCAACAGTAGCGTCGTTCAGCCGGAAGGTTAGTGTTGCGCCGTAGCTGAAAGAGTGCAAAGCCAGCTATTTCAAACATAGCAGAAATGAATACAAATGGGTGAAATTTCCAAACTTGTCTTGATGAAAATTAAGGGCCAACAGTTGTGCTATTACCCAGCAGAAACGGTCGGTTTACAGAAAAAAAGCAATTCAGTCACACAATCGTTTTTGCAAGCTTTTACATTGCAATCTGATGGAAGGATCTAGGCCCTTTTGCACTCAGAGAGCTACGTGGCAAGCATACGAATTTCCATGCATACAAATTCCCTCCTGCTTTAGAGCGTGCACAGAATGGATTCCAAATTACGTCACTCGCTGAGCAGGACGCCCGTGCCTTTTTTTTTTTTTTTTTCAAATTTAAATTCGAAAACAAATAAACGCATTTCACGAAATGAACGTTCCCAAAATAAATCCAAATAAATCAATTGTTTGCTGAAGGCACACCAATTTAATATGATGCATTTGAATTACAATAAATGCAATTTTGCAGTTTGTTTTATGCTAGGATATTGCAGTTGTTTTATTCAGTTCATCCAGTTGTTTACTGAAATGACCGGACTAAATATAAAATAATGTTTGCATGAAATTCTACAAAGAAAGCGGTAAATGGGTTGTCTATTGAGGCAATAATCACGTCGCTGTTCATATTTATATGTCAAATACTTATTAAATCAATAAGGGGGGGGGGACATTAAGAAACTTCCAAGGCATTCTAGTGGAACGTTACTACAAGTAAAACAAAATATGGAAATTATTACCCTGGTTTAATGAGGACAAGAGTTTTGAAAAGGAAGAGTAATCTGAATAGTGCAACACGTTTCCATGTCTCTTTGACGTTATCATGATTTATAATATGATTTATACCTAGAGACATTTCGTTGTATTTTGAGAAGCAAGAAGGCCTCAGAATGTTTTGATAATTTATATTCAGTTAAGAGGAAAATAATCTAAATCAGAATAGCATGTGTCAGCTGGTATAATGCATAATAGCCTATATAATTGGTACAACTCTGTTCAGTTTTGGGATACCCCCACAACCCCGAAAAGTTTCATAATAAAATGTCAAATGTATTACATTATTTGTTTTTGCAACGATGACGTCAAGCGTATCCTTACTTGATATACGCCGTTAATATAGCAGATAGATAGTAATATAGAAATTACACGTTATGATTGTTTCTTTTGTTTTTCAAAGAAAAAAACACGAAAGCATACAGAAACATGCTATCAGAAAGAAAGAAAAAAAGACAATAAGGAAATATGACAATGCAAGGTGAAAACATTTAGGAAGTTCTCCCATTATCATATTTAGGCCAAGGGTCAGAAGATCGAGGGAAAAAGATAGGCTACTCTTCTAAATTCCCTTTGTATACATTTCAGAAACTGTCTCGGTATTTGTCTAGATTAAATGTAAAACAAATATTAGTAATGCGTTTTAGTTTTGAATATAGCCTAGTTTTAATATTTAAACAAAATTGCGAAAGAAAGAAAAAGAAAGAAAGTTGCACCGATGCATCTGAAAGCTATCAGATTTATTGTTCTCATTCACTTCTCGCTGAGTCAGTACTGAACTTAAATAACAACCACGGGGGAAACGGTTTGACAACGGTTTGTTTCAGCTTCGTCAATGTGTTTGTGTACAATATCTGTATATAATAACAAGTGTAATACTAACAGTACAAAATATAATCAATATTGAAAAAGCCAGGGGGGAAGGCCTACAAGAGATGCTACTAGGTTGAAAGTCATCACAGCGCGCAACAAATCTGTCATTGCTCCTGAAAATATCTGAAAATTGATTTTAGTGAAAAATACAAAGCAAATCGTTTAAATCAACACAGAGAATTCATATTGCCAAATTTACACAGACTTGTTATCAAAACCCACCAAAAAATCTGCCTGGAAAAAAAGCAGTGAAGAGAGGGCAATATCCACGATAATTCAGCCAAACAACAACAAAAAGTGTTTACAAGGGGTCGGCTGAAACTGGAAAAGAGTAATCAATTACTTGAGAGTAATCAATCTTTTTCCCTTCTTTTTTTTTTCTTACGAGTTTTCTCTGTGTAAAAGCTATTCACAGAAGCGTGGTCCACAAAAATACTATGAAATAGAAAAGGTGTAGTTTGTTGCACATAATGTTCCAATAGTAGACAAGACAATTCCGTTTTGTTAAAATGAGTAATATAATTCCTGTGCGTAAAATTGATACGTGTCCTGGGGTAAATTCTTCCTCTGTTTAATATTTAATGTTTGTCTGCATTGATCCATGTCCGTGGGAGTTCTTTTGTCATTTCAATCCATAAAGTCTATGTTGGTTTTGGGCTGGTTATGATTTCGGGATTTCGGTGTCAGTGCACCAGAATCTCCTGGCCATAGGAGCTCGCAGATGTCACGTTGTAGTTGCTGTCAGGTTCATCTTTCAAACTTGCACCTTTTAAGTAATCTATCACAAAACTCCCCTGAAACACAGAGCAAACATAGTCATTTAAACGTTAGGGACATTGGAGGATAAAACGAAGAGCTTTTAAGATTTCAGTTTTGGGTTCTCCCGTAATATAGCCTACATAAAATATTTGTGATATCTTGCTGACTTGAAGTGTATATAAAATGATTTGTTCTACGTCTCAGTGAACATACGTTTGCAGTCCATGGACGGAGGCGGTGTGTCTGCACTCACGTTGCCGGCATGGGTGTACACGTCCTCGGGCGTCTGAGGGACCCCGGGCGGCGTCATCCTCTTCTCCTTCTGCCTTCGGTTGCAGAACCAGACCCGAACCACCTCCTTTTCCAACTGGAGGTTGCCCGCCAGAGAGGATATCTCCTGCGCTGCCGGTTTGGGGCATTTCAAAAAATGGCTCTCCAAGGCTCCCTTCACGCTCACCTCGATGGAGGTGCGCTTCTTTCGTTTCCTGCCTTGAGCTGCTATTTTGTCGATGCTGGTGGGACTGCCCGTGGTCGAGTCGGCCTCCTCTAGCCACTTGTTCAGCAGCGGCTTGAGTTTGCACATGTTTTTAAAGCTCAGCTGGAGAGCCTCGAACCTGCAAATGGTGGTCTGCGAGAAAACATTTCCGTAAAGAGTTCCAAGCGCTAACCCGACGTCGGCTTGAGTAAAACCCAGTTTGATCCGACGCTGCTTAAACTGTTTGGCAAACTGTTCCAGGTCGTCGGAGGTCGGCGTGTCCTCGTCTGAGTGCGAGTCGTGGCTGTTCACTCCCGCGTGGTGCTGCTGGTGGTGGTGGTGGTGGTGAGTGTGCTGCTGCTGCTGATGATGGTGGTGGTGATGATGGTGATCCATTTCTGGAGAGTCTCCTCGCATCAGCCCCGGGTGGACTAAACTCCCGGGAGGGCTCAACATCCCGTTGACTGTGAAACCACCCGGCTGGGAATAAATGAGAGCCTGCTGGGACTGCTGCTGTCCTCCGGTGATGGTCGGGATGTGGGAGGCTGTGGTGCCACCCCATGCGCTTTGGTGCGACTGGTGAGCCCCTAAATGCGAGGGTCTGTGGTGCAACGCGGTGCCCGGGTGTAAATCTTCTCTGTTTGAACTGTTCTTCAGGTCTTGTTGCTGTGGGCTACCGGCCATGCCAACTGGGCTGGAGGACCAAGGGGAGCCGGCTTCTGCCGCTGCAGCGGCTGCGGCGGCGGCGGCCGCGGCAGCCGCATGTGGCAGTGAGGTAACCCATTGATGGGCATGGCTCAGCATGTGCCCCCCGTTACTGGCCGTCATGGCTCCTTGCATGAAGTCGCTCTGCACCATCTTGACCGCGGGGTCTCCTCTGTAACCTCCCGACACCGATGTTACGGCACCGCTTCCCGGCTGCATGCCACCACCTCTGGACTCCGAGTGCACGATCGAGGCTGATGAGAGAATGCTGTTGCTGGCCAGGTAAGGATTGGAAGCCGCTGTGGCCATCCTCCCTCACCACTTTGAACAATTCTACTTATTATTCCCCCTACCTGTATTGTCGTAACTGTTTTCCAAGCCTCGAAGGCACGCACTATTTCATGAATTATTCAAGCTGGAAAAGTATGCGTGGTATTTTGATTTGGTCCACCGTAAGCACAGCAAAAGATGGCAAAAATATATCCGTCAAAACCTCCTTTTTTCATAAGCAAAAGGAGAAAGAAATACCTTCAGCGTAGAAATCCACATTATGCACGGAAGTGATTTTTACAATTGCATTCCATTCTTAATGTCATTGTCCAATTATGAAACCAAAAAGTCTTGTTAGTTCTTCTTCACATCAACTTCACGTCTCGATTACACAAATCCCACACCGAAGTTCATCGCGCGCTCTCTTGACTTGATGTGGAGGCTTATCAGGAGACGCTCCTTTGTAAACTTCTCTCTTGTTCTGCAACCCACAAGGCGTTTTCTTACCGAGTCTTGCTTCTCATATTTCTTCTTTTCACAGAGTCCATCTGACTTTAATCTTCAATACGTTCAATTGCACACAACTCTGTTAAATGCACACGCAATGGAGAGCTTTCGCTGTCCTCGCTCGCTCCGTTCCTCTCTCTGAGCGCGAGAGCACGCGAATGTTTACGTTCAGCCCCCGAGTGCACACACCATCCACATCCTTCACCCAATTACCGCGAGGAAGTTTCTGCGAGATTGATGCTCATTGGATATCCTTCGGGAGAGTGACAGATCTTAGGGCACAGCTAAGAAATCACGTCAAGGCGTTGCAATTTGCTATGTCTAATTTGGAGATGTCAACATACGAATAAAAGTGACTAGACCTTCTATCTGAGCAGGAAGCTTTAGTTGATATAATTCTAGTGCACTGTACTGCATCATTGGCTTCTGTTAATGACGCAGTAGATGTTTTGTTTTTGTTACAGAGGAAATTTTTGACTTGTTTTCGTCTCAGCGTTTGTTTTATTTTACTTTATGTTGGTCTTTTGTCTGCAACAGGCATCTAAATGTTAAAATGAAATTATAATTGTCTATGATATTTTACCTATGTGCATGCAACAAACAAATAGGGAAATCAGAAAAGATACAGATAAAACAATGCAAACAACAGGCAGATAAAACATAAAGCAATTCAGTTTTGGCTTAGGGGTACAAATGAGTAAGCATAGATTAGATTTTTATCCAGAAAATGTATGTAATCTACTGTTACCATCTAGCAAGGACTGACAACTTAACGGAAAGCATTTTTCATAGTTTATTCAGATTTATTCTAAGAATAAAGCAGACCCATTTCAAAGCACGAGCCGTGTAAACTTTTAAACTGATTTATTTATTCAATTTATGAATTATCTCCACCTCTCACAACGAGGTTTAAAAAAAATACTTATAAAATACAAAAACAAAGCACAAATAAACACAGTCGTCATAATAACACCAAGTATTTCATATTGTATAATTTGTTTAAATGGCAACTCTGGTACATGAAACTTGAACAAACGTATATCAGGTCTTTCAGATGAAAAAAAGAACCATCAGATGAATAAAAAAAAACACGTATTAATCCCTGAGTGGTGATTTATTATTATTGTTGTTTGTTTACCTGTAGACTGATCCACCCCTACATATAACCTATTGTATAGTTTCGAGGACAGGGACAGTCGTGCACTGCGAGCGATGAACAGTTAGTGCTGATTTTCATTTGCATAAATTTTCATATGTTTAAGAGAAAATAATAGCGGAGCGGAGGAGAGCGGGATTCACTCGAGACGGAGCAAGAGAGAGAGGGAGCTGCGCTGGATTCATTCCTGCGGTAAGAGATATTCCTCTCCCTCTCTTTCTCACCCTTTCTGTCTGAATGTTTTGTTTTAATCGCGAAAAACGGTCTATTTTAAATTTAAGAGCCATGCTGTAGCTATTGCGCGCTCTTAAAATTTTCAGTAAAATGTATCTCTGTGCAGAGCTTGTTCTTCAGCGAGGCCTTGCGCTGACTAAAAATCACATTATTTATATCAAATAAATGCGGTTTTGCTCGAGGGCCAATAATGGTAGCAAATGCATCAAAGCACAAGGATGCAGAGGGTTAAATGACATCAACTCCTTGACAATTTCATTAAGCTTGTTAGCTTCTTAAGCAAAGACTTCCAGGACTTTATATCATGGACTTATAAGGTAGGCTTCTTATTTATTTTTCTGTTTATTTAGGAAATGTATTATTAAGTTCCAAAGATATAACGAATTAGTTATTAAAAGTGTAGTTAATCTAGTTTTACTCTATCTGCAATTTGAAAAGAAACAAGTTTGTTTAGTTTTTAAGACCAGCTGGACACATTTTTCACGAGCAGCCCAGTCAAATGTAGGCTATTTAAAACGTTTTACGTGTGTTAACAGCTTATGCGTCGATTCATTTGCTGATTGTAATTTCTACTGTTTGTTTGAAAATGAGCTATCTAATTTCAGTTTCCTAAAATATAAAATAAGATTGATCAAACACAAAACCACGTGAAGTGGCAGATATTTGCCGTAACAGCATTCTGAATTAATTTGCACAGACTAACATGACCCTCCCTGTAACAGCCCATGCAATAAGTTTATAACGGTTTATGCAGTCCATCAGCTGGCATGGGTACATAGATGATCCATTAATCACTGCCTGACGAAGTCATGTTTAACAATGGCTCAAGGTGTCATTTGTAAATGAAGATACTTTATTTCTTGTTACGCCTTCATTTTGCGCACTAATTGACGCTTGTTATGGTTGTTTTACTTGGGGTTAAAGTCGAGTTTTGCATGAAAGTAGCCATGATATATATATATATATATATATATATATATGGCTATATGGTTATAACATTTGACTTTTTTAGAGACATTAATCCCATTTTTTAGTTAGATTCTTAAGATGTGTAATTTTTATCCTCTCTGACTTTGTCGTTAACTACATACAAACATCTTTTCTCCAACAAGAGATTTAATAATTAGTAATTAGTATTTTTTTGTATCACCAAGTTAGACAAACAAAAGTGACCTATAATACAAATTTGTGTAAGAAATTAAAAAGCAAAACCTTATTGGCATCACATCTAAAATTACAACTTTGTAGACTATATTCCCACAGTTTCTTAAAGTTGATGCAGTATTGTTTAAAGAAATATATGAATAATGAAATAACTAATTGGTTAATAACCATATTCTGATATGAATAGAGGTCTAAATAAAAGTAGTTGCTTAAATGATGAGGATAAGTTTCCCCCAAATGATTCTATTGCTTACCCCATACACACTCTCACTCACACACACACATTTAAGAGCCATGCTGTAGCTATTGCGCGCTCTTAAAATTTTCAGTAAAATGTATCTCTGTGCAGAGCTTGTTCTTCAGCGAGGCCTTGCGCTGACTAAAAATCACATTATTTATATCAAATAAATGCGGTTTTGCTCGAGGGCCAATAATGGTAGCAAATGCATCAAAGCACAAGGATGCAGAGGGTTAAATGACATCAACTCCTTGACAATTTCATTAAGCTTGTTAGCTTCTTAAGCAAAGACTTCCAGGACTTTATATCATGGACTTATAAGGTAGGCTTCTTATTTATTTTTCTGTTTATTTAGGAAATGTATTATTAAGTTCCAAAGATATAACGAATTAGTTATTAAAAGTGTAGTTAATCTAGTTTTACTCTATCTGCAATTTGAAAAGAAACAAGTTTGTTTAGTTTTTAAGACCAGCTGGACACATTTTTCACGAGCAGCCCAGTCAAATGTAGGCTATTTAAAACGTTTTACGTGTGTTAACAGCTTATGCGTCGATTCATTTGCTGATTGTAATTTCTACTGTTTGTTTGAAAATGAGCTATCTAATTTCAGTTTCCTAAAATATAAAATAAGATTGATCAAACACAAAACCACGTGAAGTGGCAGATATTTGCCGTAACAGCATTCTGAATTAATTTGCACAGACTAACATGACCCTCCCTGTAACAGCCCATGCAATAAGTTTATAACGGTTTATGCAGTCCATCAGCTGGCATGGGTACATAGATGATCCATTAATCACTGCCTGACGAAGTCATGTTTAACAATGGCTCAAGGTGTCATTTGTAAATGAAGATACTTTATTTCTTGTTACGCCTTCATTTTGCGCACTAATTGACGCTTGTTATGGTTGTTTTACTTGGGGTTAAAGTCGAGTTTTGCATGAAAGTAGCCATGAAATAGTGAGGACTCTTTACAATGCCATGACAGATTATTAATTAACCTTTAAAAAAAAAAATAATAATAATAATAATAATAGTAAATCCAGCAAATTGTCCTGTATTTTGAGCATGAAAGTGATGGAGAATACCAGTGGTTTTGGTGACGAACGGTTAGTGACAGGCTTCTGATGGAAGGCAGATAATTCCTTGGTTTCCTGTTGGAGTGAGGTCACATGAGGACTTCCTGTGCGGCTGTGCTGACTAGACACACACACACACACACACACATACCCACACACGTATTTCCCCCAGTCCCTGTATTACATTAATCAAAGCACATATTTCCCAATGGAATCCACACATGGATCACAGTAAATCCTAGTGGAATTGAATCACACAGAGGCCTAACTCAGCAGTCCGGTCGTTATTTTCCATACATATTTTTGAGTGATTTCTTGTGAGAGAAAACATGGGAAATATTTACACCTATTGACATTCACTACTAAATAAGCTGCTATAAATGGGCTAGACAAGGCATTTGCAGCATTATAACCAACCTCATGTTTCCCCTTTAAAGGAGCAACAACATTTCTACCTTATGTTGTTCTCTAGACTAAAGTGAATTTGGTGCTTATATTTTGTTGAGGTGCATGATTAGAAATGTTAAACCGTTTCAGATGCCTCACTGCCTTATTGAAATGACATCACAGATATGTTGTGAACATTTCCAGCTCTACAGAGCTGAAACTGTTCAGTCTGAGGAAGGTTTCAAAAGTGCTATGCTTTCTACTGCAAGTGACTGCAATTCAAATCTCTTTTCCCCCTGC